CCTGCAAAATATGCATCACTCCAATTTTCATATGGTAAACTTCTCAAGAAAACACTCACAATGTCTTCTCCCTCATTTTTTAATTCATTTAACTTGAAATGAAATGATGTCTTTGTTGGAGCATATGCACATTTTGAAAACTTGGACACAATCGTCTCCCTAACTAAATTTGTGTTTCCACATGACAACTTATCCCTCAAATTTCTCTTTAGATGTTCAAGACAAAATCCATGAAAGCAGTTAGGGAAAAACCTAGCAATTCCCTCCATAATACCACAATGTCGATCTGATATGAAACTTATCACCCTTTCTAATCCCAATACTCCACATAAATGGTCAAAAAACCAACACCAATTGTCTTTATTCTCAGCATCAACAACAACAAAAGCTACAAGAAAAAAACCTACAAAACAAATAGGAACAAGCATATTAGATATACACATGCAAAGAAAATTAGAACAACAAACAACTAGAGAAATTTGACACTGCCAACATCCAGAGAAAATTCACTTAGTGCCCAACTCCAGAGAAAATTCACACATTGGCAACATCCAGAGAAAATTGACTTAGTGACCAACACTACAGAGAAAATTCACACAATCAGAATATCCAAAGAAAATTCACTTAGTGAACAACTATAGATACAATTCACACAATGACAACATACAGAGAAAATTCACACACTGACCAAAATCTAGTGAAAATTCTCACAATGGCCACAACCATACAAAAATCCACACAGTGGTCAAAACCAGAGAAAATTCAAAGTGTAAGAAAAAAATCACATTCACTCAATTTATACATGTATAGAAAATTCACATACTTAGATAAAGTTAGATATATTTACAATTACCTTCACTCTCATCTTTCCCCGTTGCAGCAAGCATAACTCCTTTGTATCGTCCTTTCAAAAATGTTCCATCAAGAAAAGCAATAACCGACAATATTTGAAACCAGCAATGCATGTATGAAAAGCCACAAACACTCTTTTGAAACGATTGTTATCTTCAAAATCTAATTCAAAATGACTACCCGGATTGTTCTTCAATGCCTCATCAAAATACCACCGTAATTGATCAAATGACAAACAAGAATCCCCATATGTACTACATTTTGCTTTTTCAACACCCAACCAACCACAATTATAACTGATTGAGACCCTATACTTGTCTTTCATTTCTTTGACAACATCCACTAGATGAGTTAAAGGTTTTGCACTTACCTCTTCAAATATCAGCCCAGAAACTAAGCTAGAAGTCATCCTAGCATGTTTACTCGTGCGAACTGCCACACTACACGTATGCTCATTGTTCAAAGCCCTTATGTAGAAGAACCCATTTGTTTTTTCAACTGAAGCATGAACACGCCACATACATCTCCTTGATTCCTTATATGCACATTCTGCCGTAACCCTCAGCTTGTCATTTTTAACATATGTAAACTGAAAACCAACCTCAATAGCATACTTGCATAAAAAAGTACGGAACTCAACCACACCACCCTCAAACTTTTGTCCAACACTCGTAATATTATTTCACCAACCAGTTGACAATAACACCTTTTCTTGGTGAGAACAAAACTTAGAGAGTGAATTCCTTTCAATATCCACCAGCCTATCACACTCACCATCCACAACATCTACCAATTAGACCCCACTTCATCCTCTTCATCAAAAGTACTACATCTAGTAACTGAAACATCAACTATATCAACACCGCGCGCGCAAACAACCCTCAACATATTCAGAAAATCAATATTATTTTGCACCATACAATTCGGATGGCCCACAATAGAATATGAAATACACATAGTCTCGGGTTTCAAATTCTCCCATGTTTTACACAAAATGCCAACCAATTCCTCAAAATTCAATTCGCATGAAACATTAATGACAATAGTATCATTCCCATATTTGCATAGCAACAACACGGCACTGTCCATTGAAACTGAAAGAAAAAACAAGAAAAATAATTTGTTTAACATACAAACACTTCACAAGAATAACATAAAAGTCCAGAGAAATTTCTAAAAATTATAATTTTCTCTGGACTCAAATAAAAGTCCAAAAACATCTACAAACTTGTATTCACCTTCAAGATAACAAAAAACAAAATCACAGAAACTTAATGAATCCAGACAGAATCACAGAGAAATTTACTGCTAACTATTAAACACAATCATAGAAAAAAATCACACAGAATATCTGTTATGAAATTATAGGCTTCTCTGTGATTTTCACCTCACTACAAGCTAACAATTTTCTATGCGTCATTTTACAATATTGCACTCATAGAAAAATCTAGAGAAATTTACAAACTTATATACACCTTCAAGATAACAAAAAACATTGCATTTTCCATCTAAACTGAAAGAAAAAAACACAAAAAATAATTTTTGCTTAGAAAAACAAAAACTTATATTCATTTTCTACAAACATATAATTTTCTCTGAACTACAAACTAAAAGTGAGTAACAAACTTATAATTTTCTCTGAATTACAAATAACAGTCCAGAGAAATTTATGAACTTACATTCACTTTCTCAGATTCTATCTGCATTAGAAACTTCTAATAATATGTCCATATGCACTTATAATTTTCTCTGTGATTTTCGTTGGATTATAATAACAAACTTACAATTTTCTCTGAACAATACCAACAAAAGTGCAGAAAATGAAATTTCTCTGGTTTAAAAAAATTTCTCTGGCTTGAAAAAACATAGAACAAAACTTATCATTGATCAGCATGTTGATGAAAAACAGAGCACGAAAAATGAACTCTAAACATCAAAATCAACTACACTGTCAACACTCGTTGAAATTGATCAAAAAACAGAGAAAGAAAAATTAATTCCAAAAATAAGAATCAACTCTATCAAGCCGGCCTCTCTCTAAACAAAAATTCAAAACAAAAATCAAAATCCATGTGGAATCTAAATCGAAAACAAACCTGATTCAACTCCACTGAAAAACCTATGCGTTCAACACGCTGTCAACACTCTTTGAAATTGATCAAAGAACAGAGAATCAAAAATTAATTCCAAAAATAAAAATCAACTCTATCAAGCTGGCCTCTCTCTAAACGAAAATTCAAAACAAAAATCAAAATGCATGTCGAATCTTCATCGAAAACAAACCTAATTCAACTCCACTGAAAATCTACGCGATCAACACACTGTAACACCTACACGATCTTAGCAAACTTTCTCGTCAACTCCACTGAAATCTCCGACGAAATCTCCGCTGCGAATTCAGTTTCCAAAATCTCACCATGAAGTCAACAATATAATATTCAAACAAATTTATGTTATAAAAGAAGGGTAATTTAGGTACTTTATAACCTAAAATAAACTTGAGGGACCTTAGCCATCAAAATATATTATTTTGGACCTCTCCTCCTATCAAAAGTAGAGGAGGGACCGTAGGCCAATTTTCCCCAAATGATATAATTAGCCATTCACAGTATATTTAATAAATTAATAATGACAACAAATATTACTATTATATGGGGAAAAAAAAAAAAAAACATTCAAAACAAGCAAAGCATGAGAGGAGAAAAAAATTGAATTATATGCTTCCCAATAAGTTCATATAAGATCAAAAAAATCTGATCTGATGGAGACCAAGTGTACACGAAAATGAAAATAAGTGTTGTCACATATCTTTGTCAAATTATTATTATTATTTTTTTTTAAAACACCATCTTTGTCAAAGATTTGAGCAACCAATTTTGTGTAAGCAAAACAATTCTTGTACTTGCACCCGCCAATCCATCCATATAATTGCATACAATTCTCCCATCTCATTTATATATAATTAAAAATAATAATAAAATACAGAAATCAGTCATAGAATTAGATATAACTCTCTCATACAGACCTACCTCATATGTGATAATTGTATCGGATTCTGTAATTAATTTATATTCAAATAGATTCAATACACTAAAAATTTGTACATATCCTAACATGCTTTTATCACCTTCCCAGTTTGTTCAGCATCAGATGTAATTCATAATGAGAGCAAGACCCCACAAACCTGATCCGTCTTGCTCGCCTAAACATGGGAGAGTTTTCTTTACTGGAAACTCATGAAACATGCCAAGCGTTGTGATTTTTAATGCTCCATATGATTAATTTTGCTTCTTTCACTTTGAGAATAGAATAACATTTGAATCTCAAGCTTTTGTAGAGCTCTACCATGTAGAATGTCTGTTTGGTTTGATTTTTTAAAACGCTTTTTAGATGAATTCTTGTTTATTTTTATTGATTTTTTTTATATATATTTTAATCAATTTTTTTTTTCCCCTTTTAAGATGCACATAATTAAGATGCATCTTAAAAATAAAATAAATTGACTAAAAAATCAGTAAAAACAAACAAAATTTGAACAAAAATATGTGTGAATTTTTATTTGAATTTTCGTTTGTTTTTTGTGATTTATTTTAATATTTTAGTTAAACGTTTTTACATTTTAGATGTATCTAAAATGTATAAAAATAAATAAAAATAAAAATAAAAAAGACTAAAATATAAAAAAAGTTAAGTAAAAATAACAAAAATTCATCAAAAAATAATTTCTGAAAACTGTAACCAAACAAAACCTTAATTTTTTATGGTTACTAATCATGAACTCAAAGTCAAAAGCTATGGGCACATATGAGAACCACCTATTTGTTTGTTTATTTGTTTTTTTTTTTTTTCAGTTTATTGTAAGTTGAAGTGGTTAAGATCTTTAAACCATACTTCTAAATTTATCCATAATGATGTGAATTTAAGAGCAATTTTAGAGCCCTATTCTAAAATCACCCTTTCCTAATTTTAGCCTTCGTTTTCTTTTTCTTTTTCTTTTTCTTTTTTTTTTTTTCCTTCATCTCCAATTAACTTTTGCAATTCTGAGGCAAAATTTTACTTTCTAAGTCCATCTAAACGGACTCAAAATTTATAAGTTTTCACTAAAATAAAAATAATAAGAAAAAGAAAAAAGCAACTCTATATGAGAATTATTTAAATAATGTTCACCATATAAATTGTAAAAAAAATTACAACAAATGATCTGACTTATAATTACAAAATAAATAAACAGATCATAAACAACTCATTTAAGTTGCAGCAAACACCTACCTATCTTTCCATCAAAAGAACACAACAACAATAAGAATAATAATAAACTCTTCTTCATTTCACATGATGATAGTTAAAAAAATAAATGCTCATTTCCACAACCTAATCAGAAATTCTGCATCCCAGCCTCATAAGAGTAACAATTTTCTTCTCATTGTCATCCCTTCCAGTTTAAAAGCTCAGAGCAACCAACTACCAGAATGAGTCGCACTAAAGCAATCTGACGCGGATCAATACTCTTCCATCCCTCAGCTTGTGTCACCATATCTAACAAAAAACACAACTTCAAAGATGGATTGACCGCTGTTTTTCACAATTACAGATGCACAACCTTTCACTGATGGGCTGGATTAGGTCCATGTTTTCTCCAAAATGGAATGGCCTACTTTCTTCATCAGATGCGAACAAAGAAAAAAGTAACAAGATCAATGTTCTATTGTGTGACTTTCTCACAAAATGCAATGATCTTGCCATTTTAACTACTAAAAGTCAGAAAACCCATAATTCACGTCTCAAGAATCCGTTGTAATAGGTTATACATACGGAACATACTCTCCCCTTCTAACCACTTTTGCTCTTGACTAAGACACAGAACTAACGCATTCCATGTAAAATAGTCAGGAATAATACCTTCATCCAACATTTGTAGAAAGAGTAACAAAGCCTTTTGGAAATCTCCTTTTTTACAAGAAGCATCAACTAGAGGACTATAGCTTCCAATATCAGGCAAGCAACCTCTTCCAACCATGTCTTTCATTAGCTTAAATGCACTCCCAACTTTGCCATTCCCACAAAGCCCACAAATTAAGACATTAAATGTTGATGCAACAGGAAAATAACTGCGGCCAACCATCTCATTCATCAGCTCAAATGCTTCCTTGACAAAACCCTGTTGGCAGAACCCACGAATCAAGCTGGCATACACGAGAGCACTAGGAATACCCCCTTCCCCGATCATCTGATCATAAACCCTCTTTGCATCATCAACGCAGCCCTCCTCACAGAATCCTAGTATCCTCAAGCTCCTATCAACAGCTCGAGGAAACAGTTTCCCCATCTTAGTAAGGAATTCAAGGGCTTCAATCAAACGATTTTCCTTGTACAGACCGTATATGATGCTGTTGTAAGGACTAATATGACCCCCAGATCCCCCCTTGCTCTCTTCCATCAATTCCATGATCTTAAATCCATCTTCCATTCTTCCTCCAAAACACAACCCACCGATTAATGTATCGTACGTGACAAAGTTCCATCTAATTCCGACCGTTTTCATTTCATGAAACATATCAAGAGCTGAATCCAACATCCCAGACTCACACAAGCCACCTATCAATACATTATATGTGTCTATATTTGGAAGGCATCCCTTACTCTCCATCTCCTTCAAATATCGAAGTGTGAGTTTCACATTCCCTTTCTTACAGAAGCCCTTGATCAGGGCGTTATACGCTACAACATCAAGAGTGCCTCCCTTGTTCTCTACTCTTTCTAAAACTTCAACGGCCTCAGTGACACGGCCTTCATTGCAGAGGATTTCAATAACCTTGGTCACAGTGATGATATCAGGGACAAACCCATTACTGAAACACTTCTCCAACAACACAAGAGCTTGCACCAAATTCTCTTCTCGACAATACGCGGATATCAGAATATTAAAAGTAACTTCATTGGGTTTCGCCATTTCATTCATCAAGCTCCTAGCTCTTCCAACCTTCCCATTCTTGCAAAGACCATGAAGTAATGTATTATAAATAACAGTATTCGGCGTCAAACCACGTGACTTCATCGCTGCCAGATGCTTGAAACCCTCATCAATTCTATTAGTCAAGCAAAGTCCCTTCATCAAGATCCCAAAAGTGTACTCATCGCATTCAACACCACAACCCATCATCTTCTTCCTATAAAATTTTCTAGCTAAATCAATATCTTCCTTTACAAGAACATCAAGAATCGAATTAAAGAGTTTCACAGACGGGTTTTTTTCAAATTTAGAGACCAAATCAAGTACTTTAATGACTTCTCGAATCATTCGCGCCCGTCCAAGGCCACGCACAATCGTGACAAAAATGTCCTCATCTGGGGGTGACCCAATTGAGCTGGGCATTTCGTCGAGCACCTCCTTGACAGTATCGAATCGACGGAAAGTGCAAAGTTTGTGAATCAAAGCTCTATAAGTTGATTGGGAGTGGGCAAAATTGGGGAGCTTGGAAGCCCATTTGAAAGTTTGGAGGGCTTGGGTTGCAGATTTTTGTTCGAGTACGAGATGGGCAATGTGCTGATGGGTTGGAACAGGGGTAGTCGAGATGGGTTTTGATTGGAAACTGAGAAAAAGTCTCTGGTGGATTGTTGTTCTTGATAAGAAGAAGATGGGAAGCATTGAAGGGCAAGAGAAGTTGGGCATGGAGTTTTTCTAGGATTGGTACTGAAAGCTGAGAGCTTTGTTCTGATCAAATTATAGCAGATGGTAAAGCATTGTCTTTTCACAGTAGAGTCAAGTTTCACTCTTGTGGCGTGTGAAATGTTGGATATTTTAGGCCTCGTTTGGGAAAGTTTTTTTTAAGTAATTTTTTGATTTTTTAGTTAAAATGTGATGTAAAAAAAATTAATATGTTTGGGATGATTTTTTAATTTTTTTTACGAAAAGATGTGCAAAAATTAGAGAGAAAAATGAATCTTTGACTTTTTTGTATAGGTTGTTAACTTTTTTATTTTTTTAGTAATTTTTTAACTTTTTAGCTAAAAAGATCACTTGCCAAACGAGGCTCCCTTTTCAAAAATCTCGTCCACTATTCTAATCGATCCTGGGCCCTACTAATGGTGGTAGTTGATGAGTTTCACTAGTGTTTCGGTAGTGGTGCCTTATTATGGGTTAAGTCAAATCGAGCCCGTAATTATGGATTAAGTCAAATCAAGCCCGCATTTAGTTATCTCGAAATTTGAGCCCACAAATGCTGCGTCCCTTCCTATGGGTTAAGTCATATATCAGGTCGATAATCGGTTATCTTAGAACCTGAATCCACGAATATCATAATGACACTTCAGAACATTTTTTTTTTAGTTCCCACAAAAAAAAAAAATTTATAGCAGATATAGAGATGTAGAGGAGAGGCCATCAGGTGGGTGTTTGGTGCCAATGAAATAAATTATGTATAATTTATTTTAATTTAACAGTATATGTTAGACTGTTTAGTGTAACTTTTATTCACAGTCTATTGTCTAAAAATAATTTAAATAAATTTTTTAAAAAATTAATTATTGAAAAGTTAAGAATAAATCTTTTTGATTTTGCTTTATAATTATCAACATTTTAACTTATAATAAATTACACCAAAGAAGTCATACCGATTTCAATATTCTAACTTTGGGTCTTATGGGTGTTGATTTTTGATCACACAACCAAATAGAGAACTTAGTTGGAGAGCACTGACAGAATAGATTGAACAAACTACCTGCCAACAAGAAGATGAGAATACTGCGGTGGTTCGTCCACCTAGGGGCACTCCGACGATCAAGTCAGTAAATCTTATCTTTTACAGATATCAAAACAGTATTTAAACTTACAAGTCAAAACTAACATTTGACCCACGAGGATACCTCACTTTTTATAACCAGCTGTGACCTAGTCCCCTAGAAGCTTCACTTCGTCGGACTCAAACTCAATGCTCATCCTGGATTCTCGGCTAGATAGAGATAAACTCTTTATGAGCCTTATCCTTATCCAGACTGAGAGTCTCTTTTGTTCTAGGACTCTCGTCCCTTATCTGAATATGTCGAGATTCCGGTATTACCGCAGAACATCTCTACAATGCTGTGATCACCTCGGCAAACATGACTCATCCACGTGGCACCCTAGCCGACATCTCAAAGTTATCCTGGCCACGTAGCGTCATTCGCAAAATATTTCCCCACAACTGCTCCCTAGGTTCTATTACCTTGACAACTTGATGTGATGAAACCTATATCGTTTGTCCACCCAACATGTTGGCCCAAAACGTAGACATTACTCCAACCGAGGTTATGACTCGTCGGTTTCAAGTAACCAGGACTCAGTTGTCGCTTTTATCAAGAATCAAGAACCAAGAACCAAGTTCTTTAAGCATTTCAACCAAGATCACTTCTCCAGCCGAGGTTATTTCCTCATTATTTCAAGAATTTCAAGAGTTTTCAACTGTGCATGAGCTGTCACGCACAGTCACCTCATCCGTTTCTTCCACGTGTCTTATTTTTATTGGCTCATACCTGACACGCATCTTTAGATCACGTTGGCCCTCTCACGCTGCCTGACAAGCACATTATCCAAGGCATCTTCATTACGTTTTGCCACATTTTCACATTTTTAACAAAACTCCCTCACTTCTCTCTCCGTCTTTTCACTTTGCAATTACAATTCTCTCTTCTCAAATTTTCTCTCTCTCTACCAAACCTCTCTTAGTTTGCCATTACTGTTCCTGCGAGCTTTTTGCAGCCGTCTGTTCATTACACCTGGCACTCTTTTCATTGCTCCATCACCAACTGACTCCAGCAAACACTGCTTCAGCGCCTCCGTTCTCGGCTTTACCTTGTAAGTCTTTGGATCCTTTACATTTTCATTTCAACTTTCTTTACTATTCTTCACATTTGTGCCCTAGTCGTGTTTTACATGTTCCCAATCTTACATTTTGTTTTTCTTTGAATTTGCCATATGCGATTTGCGATTTGCCATTTTAAAGTATTTTCTCGCATTCTTGTCCTTATCTTTATGTTTCGTTGCATCTGTTTATTGTCTTTAGCACACTCGCACTAGATGCAATTGAGTTGAATTTTCCCCGAATTTGTCCATGCTCTGAACATGTTTCTTGAATGTCTATTCATGGTTTCCCCATTTCGAATTAGTTTGTGAGTACATGTTCTTACATCTGTGTTTGATCTACCAATGCTTTGATTTTAAATCTTGCTTTCTCCTATTTTGTTTTCCAGATTCTTGCCTCTGCATCTCGTTTATCGTTATACATTTAGGCTTGGGATTTGCTTAGATACCATATCCTTAGGAAAATTAAAAGAAGAACTCCCTTCATTTTCCTAGAATTCTTGCCCTAGTGCCCATTAAGGTCTTGCCGAGGTCCTTGAACCCACATTAAACCCTTTTTTCACTGTAAATCAGTACCTAAATCACCTTAGCCAAAGTCATAGGGATGTTCAAATGGAGGGTAGACTCTCCAACCAAACTAGAATGTTTTCTCCCGGAGTTCTCTATTCCAGTCGATGTTCAACTCAGGTTGGCTAGGAAAGAGGACTCTATCATGCCTAGAAAAAACTATATGTCTTTCCCTGTTGTGTCCATTTTAGACGGGGGAATCTAATTCCCACTTGACATCCTCTTCCGAGAAGTCTTGCACTTCTATAAACTTAACCCTATGCAACAAGCCATTAATACATTTGGGATTACTAATGGTATTGCCAAGTTGGCACACCGAGAGAATGCTAGGATTGCCCTTGCTGACATCCAGTTTTGCTACACCATGTGTGGTCTCAAGTCCATCATTGGTTATACTTACTATCTCAAGCCTAGATCCACCACATATAAACTCATAGTCGACCTCCCAGACTCCAACAGAGGCGCTGGAGATGACTACCTGTGTAATAACCCTCACCTGTGATTAGCCTATAATCCATGATTAAGAATGCCTAATAAGTAATTAAGAGGAAATTTTGAGTTAATTGTATGTGTATTGTGTTATTTGTGTTTATATCTGTCTGACGTAGAAATATATGTTTGAATTTCTGTTTCGATATGCGAATTGAAGGCCTCATCGACATCCAAACACATAATTGAATTTGTTTATTTGATATTTAAAATTTTTAAAATTTTATGGTAGGTTTAATTGGATTTTGATTCAAAACCAAATAATTAGAATAAATTAGATTAAATTAAAGCCAAGCTTAATGAAGTCCACTAATCAAGCCTATATAAGGCTTATACACACACTAGAGCTTTTCTTGTTCATCATTTCTTGAGGAGAAAACGTGAGAGAGGGAGAGTTAGAGTGACAGGATTGAATTCAAGAAAGAAATCAGGAATTGTTAGAGAATTAAAGGGAAATTGGAGAAATTGAGCAAGAACTCACTAGAATTCAAGGAATTGAGAACCTTAGGTAAAAAACTCAATCTTTAAGCTTTGTTTCTGACTCATTCATGCATGAATTCAAGAGAAGTACATAGATTAACATGAGAATTAAGTTAAGATTGGAGAATTATAACTCAATTCCTACATATATGCAAATTTCATAGCATTTTTGGTCATTTTCAAAAGAATTCCCACATGCATGGTCTTATCTTGGTTTTGTTGTAAGAATTCAACATGTTTTGAGCTAAATATCTCATTTGATCATGTTTTGGAAGGTTTGAGTTCATAACAAGTCATGCATGCTATGCTTTCAAAATTTCAAGTTTGACTTTGAACAATTCACTTGCTTTTGGGCCTTGATTTTGCAAAATGATCTTTAATTCATAATATTTTACAAGTTTACAAGTGTTTTCTTAAGTTTTGACCTAAAAGAAGGTGTTTTGATGCTTTGGAATTGAAGTTTGAAGCTTAGAGAGCAATCTGAAAATTCCAGAATTCGCACTCTTCCCTCGAGCGGTAGAGTCTGCGCTCAAGCGAATAATGTGAGCTCCCAGTACTTTTGCAGAGTTTGGGGATTGGCTCGAGCGGTAGAACTTACGCTCAAGCGAGCACCCTTATTTTTGATCCTTCGCTCGAGCGCAAGAAGTTGCGCTCGAACGTAAAATGAGTGCTCCTAGAAGTTTTATAGAATTTTGCAGATCGCTCGAGCTTAGGAAGTTGTGCTCAAACGAAGACCCTATTTACTTAGTCTTTGGCTCGAGCGACCGTCGCGTGTAAAAATCATGCAACCAGTACTTTTGCAGACCTTGTAGACCGCTCAAGCGGCCGAAATTACGCTCGAATAGACTACCCTATTTTTGAAAATTTGACTAAATGTTTTAATTTACATTTTGACGTTCTCATTGCATCGTAGGCATTCCTAAGCCTTAATTAAGACATAATAATGAGGACACGGATTAGAGAAATAAGTTAAGTATTTTCTGAGTGTGTGTTTCAATGTGTATCCGTTATGTGTTTGTGTAGATCACGCTCTATAGACTATCTGATTTGTTTTCTTTATTTGTTCTACTATTGGAGCCATTTGTGAGTAATAACTCTGTAAAACTATGTTCGACTTTAATTATTTTTTTGATGATATGAAATGATCTGTTTTCTGAAATGCTATTTTTCGTACGGATGAATGATTATTTAGATTTCTGAAATGTATTTGTGGCATCCTTAGTATCATGTGATATCTATTATCTACTCTGTATACGTCTCATGTAATCATGAATCAACTGCACGTCCCATGCGATCATGGTTCAACTACTTATGGATCCTTATGAACGTCTCTGTGTACATGAGTCAACTGTTTACATCCCATATAAATGGGTCAGTTGTTCTATTAGCTCTAATGGATGTACTACGTATAATTATCTGTGAACTCTGAATAT